TTGTGTTAATTTTGAGGGAATTGGGTAAAGTTTTTTTTTTTTTTTTTTTTTTTTTTTTTTGCCATAAGGTGCATGCACTTGCTAGAGAGAAACAGAGAGAGAGGGACAGCGGGAAATCAAGAAATCATCCCTCAGGGGTGATGGCCACACCACAATCACCTCTCCACTCTTCTGAAATTTTTGACCATGCATGTATACGTATCTGGCATGATTTCCTTTTTTTTTTTTTTTCTTTTCTTTTCTTTTTTTTTTTTTTAACAGGTTTTTGCTATACACAGAGAGACAGCAAGAAATCACCCCTCAGGGGGAATGGCCATGCTGCAATCCCTTCTCCTCCATTCTCCTCTCAGGGTTTTGGGCATGCACACACATGTGCCCAGCGTGAATTTAAGCCGTCGGGTCCCGGATTCAAACTGCAGTCAACTACATGAGAGTCAGCAACATAGCCATTATGCCAACTGCTGGTCCCTCTGGCATGATTTCCAAGCAACTGGGGCAAAGGCCTCTAACCATGGTCAGCCATGTGGGAGTCCAGTGCCTTAACCACCACACAAACTGCTGGATCCAGAAATTGGTAATTCTAACTAATACTATAATTGTCAAGCATTTTTTATTATCTTATGCCTGATGTATTTTCTCATAACATTTTTATGAGATAGAAATTATTGTGTTGTTAGATAAGTTATGATGCATTTTTACATAGAAAAAGTTATGTCATGACTTTCCTAATGACCTAGTAGTAGTTTGCCCCGTGTATAGATGAAGAAACCTAAGCTTAGTTTTCTTACGACTTGCTTAAGTGAGAAATGCTCAAGATCACACAGCAATTGGCAAAGCCAGTATATAAAATTTATTCCCAAATTGTCTTCCTGAAAGCTTGTTTTAAATTTATATTTCTACCAACAATGTAGCAGGTACTGCTTTTAAACTGTGCACCTCACCAACATTAAGTATTACCTGTAAATTTTTTCATGAGCTTTTGAACATGGAAATCTTTGAAAACCTAGACGCCAAGCCCAAATCCAGGTTGTTCATGTAATTCTACCTTTAATAAGATAGTCTGGCATTGTCATACACTGAATAGAAACAAGTTTAGGATTGGCCCCATAGTGCAGGGGCTAAGAGCTGTACATTGTACACATGGCCAGTTGCAGTTCAAATCCTAGCCTTGGCAGCTTGAAAAACATATCAGGGTATGTACACGAGTGCCCAAAATCATAATGAGAAGGAGAAATGGAGGAAAAAGATTGTGGTATAATCAGGCCTCGGTAGAGGGTGCTTTCCTTCTTCTCTCTCTCTTTCTCCAGTGCACACACAAACCTGGCAATAATAATTAAAAATAAACAAATAAGGAACCAGCAGTTAGCGTAATGGCTATGTCGCTGGACTCCCACGTAGTTGACCATGGTTTGCGTCCCAGACCCGGTGGCTTAAAACTCACGCCGGGCACGTGTGCATGTGTGCCCAAGATCCCAAGAGGAGAATGGAGGAGAAGGGATTGTGGCGTGGCCATCCCCTCGAGGGGGTGATTTCTCACTTTCTATTTCTCTGTCTCTCTCTGTCTGGCGAACACACGTGCCCTATAGCAAAAACCTCTCCAAAAAAAATAAATAAATAAATAAACAAATAAGTTTAAATTCATTTCTACTTTTTTGGGGGGCAGATGGGAATCTGGAAAATACTTGTGTATTTCTTACTTTATGGAAATATTATTTTTGTAGAAAAACGAGAAGCAGTAAACTCACTACAGGAAGAACTAATTCATGTCCAAGACCACTTGAACCTAGCAAAACAGGTAAGGTTAACAACTTGTAACCTGGAAACCAGCAGATGGCAAAATGGTTACATCGTTGGACTCCCATGTGTCAACTGCGGTTCGAGTCCCAGACTCAGCAGCTTGAAACTCACACCAGACCTGTGTGTGTGTGCATGCCCAAAATCCCGAGAGGAGAATGGAGGAGAAGGGATTGCGGCGTGGTTAATCTCCCCTGGGGGGTGATTTCTGTCTCTCCAGCAAGCACATGCACCTTATAGCAAAAATCTCTAAAAAAACAACAAAACAACAACAAAAACAAATAGTATCCTGAGGGCATGTACATTATTGGGTGAAATTACAAAAATGTCAAGTAGGCTAGTTCCTTTGCACAGTAGCAGGTCATTTATATAACCATCACATAAGTAAAAATTTTGGTGCAGAGCAGTGGGTTTCTCATTTATTTTAGCCCCAGAACTTTTGATTCAAAGTTTTGTACAACCCTAGTAAGTTAGGGTGGTAACTAGACCAGAGCCCAACAGCAATACCTCTGTAGCTCCTTGAACCCAGGGACCAAATGGACCATTTTTATCCATGTCACGGATGAGGCCTCCAAGGGCTGGACTTAGAACTGATTACTTACTGAACTGCACAGTAACTACCACATTTGGGCCTCCTTCTTCTCAAATGTGGAGTACAGTAGTTTCTTAAACCTTGACCTATGATGATCTTAAAGGTAAGTCAGTATTGTCCTGTGAGAATAGTACTATAATTTGGATTTCAAAGACTCTCAAGCAGTTTCTGGTACTCAATCCCATTGAGGAAATTGAGTACCAGAAAAAAGCCAGAAAACCAAAATTCCAAGAGTTGGGTGTGATATGTAAATTTTCTTCCTTCTACTTGAAGAATTCTGTGTTTTAAAGACTAGCTTAAAATCAGGCCAAGCTGCCATGGTACAAGCAATAGGGTGCCAGCATGACACTCGAGCCACACCAGGATTCAGATCCCAGATCAACCTGACTGTACTGGCATGCCCGTGATCCTGGCTGACTAGGGGGCTGTGGGAAGGATCAGGCATGGTGAAACCATGTCAAGGGTACTTATATCTCTCATGAAAACAAGAAAAAAAGAGAGAAAGAAGGGAAAGAAATCTTAGGGAAAAAGTACATTTAAAATCAAAGTAATCTATTTTTAAAACATCTCACATAGGTTCTTTCTTTCTTTTTTTTTTTTTGAGGTTTGCTATAGGGCACGGGCACTCGCCAGAAATACAGAGAGAGACAGGCAGAAAGTGAGAAATCACCCCCCGGGGGGAATGGCCACTCTGCAATCCCTTCTCCTCCATTCTTCTCTCAGGATCTTGGGCATACACGCACACATGCCCGGCGTGAATTTAAGCCACCAGGTCTGGGACTCAAACCGCGGTCAACTACATGGGAGTCCAGCAGCATAGCCATTATGCCAACAGCTGGTCTCTCACATAGGTTCTTATGAATATTGTTTTTTAGAACTATTGGTAATTTTTGGGACCAGCAGATGGGCTAATGGCACATCACTGGACTCCCACATGGCCAACCTTGGTTCTAGTCCTGAACATGGTGGCTTGAAACTCAACACCACGTACATTTGCATATGTGCCCAAAATTCCAAGAGAATGGATGAGAAGGGATTATGGTATGGCCATACTCAGTGATTTCTTGCTTTCTGTCTGTCTGGCTAACACATGTGCCCTATAGCAAAAATCTCTCTTAAAAAAAAACCTCAGGGCCAGCAAGGATGGTTAAGGCACTGGAATTCCCACATGGCCAACTACGGTTTAAGTCCCATACCTGGTGGCTTGCTTTCCCTCCCTCCCTCCTTCCCTTTCTTCCTCCCTCTCTCCTTCCCTTTCTCCTCCCTCTCTCCTTCCCCCCTCCCTCCCTCCCGCCCTCCTTCTCTCTCTCTTTCCGTCTTTCTCTGGCAAAAGTCATGAAAATAATTCATTCTTTTTTAAAGAAGAATTCTTGATAAAATACTTAATTTGATTGCCTTAAAAAAATAAGTACTTGCTATTTTCTGAGGTTTTTAACCTGTATAAATATTTCAGTAGTAACAAAACCAAGATTTTAGGTTTAGGTTGTTTTCAAGAAGAAGTAAACCTTACTCAGCTTTTTTTTTTTTTTTTTTTTGGAGAGGTTTTTGCTATAGGGCGCGTGTGCTCACCAGACAAATAGAGAGAGACAGAAAGCGAGAAATCACCCCCCAAGGGGGGACGGCCATGCCGCAATCCCTTCTCCTCCATTCTCCTCTCGGTATCTTGAGCACGCACGCACATGCGCCCGGCGTGAGTTTTAAGCCATCGGGTCCAGGACGCGTACCGCAGTCGACTACGTGGAAGTCCAGCGACATAGCCATTACGCTAACGGCTGGTCCCTGGATTTCATAATCTTTTAAACCATTCTGTGAAGTGAAGTGGGTGCTGTATATTCCCACCTCAGTGACAAGGCTGCTAAAGCTTAGAGGAACTGAATCTCTTGCTGAGGTTTTCTAATTTTTTTTTTTAGGCACTAAAAAAAGGAAAGCCAATAATTAAATTGAGGTCTGGATACCTTTCTAGAACTTTTTTGAGTTAATAAGGGAAGTTCCTATCTCTTATAGACCCTTATTTTTTTAATAATTATTTTATTTAACTTTATTTATTATTATTGTCATTATTATTTTCCAGCTTGATCAGAGAGAGAGAGAGAGAGAGGAAGTGAGACAGCAAGCCACCAGGTCCGAGACTTGAACCGTGGTCAGCCATGTGGGAATCCAGCACCTCTAACCACCATGCCACTTGCTGGCCCTCTTATAGACCCTTATTAAAAATGCTTTTCATTTTGTCAGACTTAGTAGATTCCAAATTGGTGCTGGCCACCTCTAGAAAAGATGGCTTTGTTTGTATTTCTGATTTGTTCTTTCCGCCAAAGGAGCTGCTTCACACTACCAGCCGCCAGGATGTACTGCTGGGTGAGCAGACCCAGCTCCAGAAGGACGTCAGCAAATGGCTAGAGAGGTTTGAAAACTGCCAAAAAGAAGGGGAGACAAAACAACAGCAACTTCAAGTGCTTCAGAATCAGATTGAAGAAAGCAAGCTCAAAGTAGTTCAACAAGAAATGGTACTACACATTTATAATTTTATATAAATGGATACATTTGATCACTCATATGAGTTTTCCCCCACTGGCAGGAAGCTATGAAGGAATGCCCTCAGCATGGGACTATGTGCCTCTTACCTTCCCTGTATAACCCAGGTGGCTTTTATACCAGTAGTGCGGCTCAATCCTGATTTGTATTTATGTGCCATTAAAAGCATAGAACACAAGTCTTGTAAAGAAGCTTAGTGGCAGGCTGGCCCCATAGACTAGTGGTTAAGGGAACTGGATTGCACATGTTGACTGTGGTTCAAATCTTCACCCTAGTGGCTTGAAAAGCATGCCTAGTGCATGTGCATGCATGCCTAAAATCCCAATAGGATGGAGAAATGGAGAAGGGATTGTAGTGGTGACCATGCCTCATTGGGAGTGCTTTTTCTGTCTGTCTCAGTACCGAGGTTTCTCTCTGATGAGTACACACGTACACACCCTCTGGCAATTAAAAAAAAAAAGTCTTAGTGGCCACATGTTCAAATCCCTATTTCACATGTTGGCCAGATAGTATCCCAGTCCCAGGAACTCACTCTCTGTCCTCATGGACTGTTTGTGCTTTCTGTTCAGCTGGAATCTGTCTCAAGTCCATGAAGGTTCCCTTATCTGGGAAACAGCATGTTTGTTATTTTATGACTAACTATGGTTATTCTCTACTAAGATGTTTCAAAAACTCCAGAAAGAGAGAGAAAGTGAAGAAAAAAAATTAGAAGCCAATAAAATGACACTAAAGGAACAGCAGCACCAACTGGAAAAGGAATTAATAGACCAGAAAAGAAAACTGGACCAGGTGCTCACACAAGTGTTGGTGGCAGAAGAGCGTGTCAGGACTTTGCAGGAAGAGGAGAGGTGGGGTGAGACTCTGGAGAAGACGCTGTCCCAAACCAGTATGTATTCTGGAGCACAGTTCTGGGGGTAAAGTAGGAGAGGATTGGTTTTGCTGGTTGTTCTGTAAAGTGGGTAGACTTGGGCATTGGAAACGGTTATTACTTTTTCCCTGGGAACTCTGATAGACTCAAACCCAATCATTCTACTGTGGAAAATGAGTAGGCAGAGTGCTACTCTTATTAGGGTGATAAGAAAAATCTCTTAGATGTCACTTTTATTTATAAGCCTTCAAAATTGATTACTCACTGTGTACCAGATGTTTGCCTATATGATTCCAATGGAACATCAGGAAATGTGTCTTTATTTATAAAATGGTACATACCAGTATAGGAACCAGCTCCAAATTATATGCTCTTTTCACTGTGTCTGCTCATCTGATGAAAGAATACTGGCATACCTCACTTTATTAAAAATCTGTGTTTCGGGACCAGCAGATGGCATACTGGCTACATCGCTGGACTCACATGTAGCCGATCATGGTTCGAATCCTGGACCCAGTGGCTTAAACTCAGACCAGGCATATGTGCATGTGTGCCCAAGATCCTGAGAGGAGAATAGAGGAAAAGAGATTGTGGCATGGCCATCTTCCCTGGAGGGTGATTTCTCACTTTCTGTCTCTCTGTCTCTCTCTGACTTTCTGGCGAGCGCATGTGCCCTATAGTAAAAACCTCTCCAAAAAAAAAAAAAAAAATCAGTGTTTGGAGCCAGCATGTGGTGAAGTAGTTATGACACTAGACTCCCACATAGCCGACTGCAGTTCAAGTCCCGGACCTGATGGTTTGAAAATCATGCCAGGTACATTTGCATGCATGCCCAAAATCCCAAGAGGAGAATGAAGAGAAAGGGATTGTGGCACGAGCATTCTCCCTGGGGATGATTTCTTACTTTCCCTCTCAGTGTCTGTCTTTGACTCTCTCTGGTGAATGCACACACCCTATGGCAAAAAAAAACAATATATAGAAAAAAAATCAACATTTATGGCGAGCTCCATGGCCTGGTGGCTAAGGCAACTGGATCCCAGCCAGCTGCATGGTTCAAGTCCTTGACCCATTGGCTTGAGAAACATAGCAAGCACATGTGTGCATGACCAAAATCCCGAAAGAAAGGAGAAGTGGAAGAGAAAGGATTATAGCATGGCCATTCCCCATGAGAGGAGTACTTTCTCCTCTCCATCTCTCTGTCTGTCTCTAGTGAGCCACATGTATCCTCTAACATAAAGGGAAAAAAAGCCACATTTATCCTCTAACATAAAGGGAAAAAAATGGGTTTTTTTTTTTTGGAGAGGTTTTTGCTATTAGGGCGCGTGTGCTCGCCAGACAGACAGAGCGAGACAGAGAGACAGAAAGCAAGAAATCACCCCCTGGGGGGATGGTCATGCCGCAATCCCTTCTCCTCCATTCTCCTCTCGGGATCTTGGGCACGCACGCACACGCGCCCGGCATGAGTTTTAAGCCACTGGGTCCGGGACGCGAACCGCGGTAGACCACATGGGAGTCCAGCGACATAGCCATTACGCTAACTGCTGGTCCCGAAAAAAATATTTATAAAAAAAATTTCAGTGGTCTGTCTCATGTTCCCAACACCTCAGACTTGGTCCTCTTACCTTCCCTGTATAACCCAGGTGGCTTTTATACCAGTAGTGCGGCTCAATCCTGATTTGTATTTATGTGCCATTAAAAGCATAGAACACAAGTCTTGTAAAGAAGCTTAGTGGCAGGCTGGCCCCATAGACTAGTGGTTAAGGGAACTGGATTGCACATGTTGACTGTGGTTCAAATCTTCACCCTAGTGGCTTGAAAAGCATGCCTAGTGCATGTGCATGCATGCCTAAAATCCCAATAGGATGGAGAAATGGAGAAGGGATTGTAGTGGTGACCATGCCTCATTGGGAGTGCTTTTTCTGTCTGTCTCAGTACCGAGGTTTCTCTCTGATGAGTACACACGTACACACCCTCTGGCAATTAAAAAAAAAAAGTCTTAGTGGCCACATGTTCAAATCCCTATTTCACATGTTGGCCAGATAGTATCCCAGTCCCAGGAACTCACTCTCTGTCCTCATGGACTGTTTGTGCTTTCTGTTCAGCTGGAATCTGTCTCAAGTCCATGAAGGTTCCCTTATCTGGGAAACAGCATGTTTGTTATTTTATGACTAACTATGGTTATTCTCTACTAAGATGTTTCAAAAACTCCAGAAAGAGAGAGAAAGTGAAGAAAAAAAATTAGAAGCCAATAAAATGACACTAAAGGAACAGCAGCACCAACTGGAAAAGGAATTAATAGACCAGAAAAGAAAACTGGACCAGGTGCTCACACAAGTGTTGGTGGCAGAAGAGCGTGTCAGGACTTTGCAGGAAGAGGAGAGGTGGGGTGAGACTCTGGAGAAGACGCTGTCCCAAACCAGTATGTATTCTGGAGCACAGTTCTGGGGGTAAAGTAGGAGAGGATTGGTTTTGCTGGTTGTTCTGTAAAGTGGGTAGACTTGGGCATTGGAAACGGTTATTACTTTTTCCCTGGGAACTCTGATAGACTCAAACCCAATCATTCTACTGTGGAAAATGAGTAGGCAGAGTGCTACTCTTATTAGGGTGATAAGAAAAATCTCTTAGATGTCACTTTTATTTATAAGCCTTCAAAATTGATTACTCACTGTGTACCAGATGTTTGCCTATATGATTCCAATGGAACATCAGGAAATGTGTCTTTATTTATAAAATGGTACATACCAGTATAGGAACCAGCTCCAAATTATATGCTCTTTTCACTGTGTCTGCTCATCTGATGAAAGAATACTGGCATACCTCACTTTATTAAAAATCTGTGTTTCGGGACCAGCAGATGGCATACTGGCTACATCGCTGGACTCACATGTAGCCGATCATGGTTCGAATCCTGGACCCAGTGGCTTAAACTCAGACCAGGCATATGTGCATGTGTGCCCAAGATCCTGAGAGGAGAATAGAGGAAAAGAGATTGTGGCATGGCCATCTTCCCTGGAGGGTGATTTCTCACTTTCTGTCTCTGTCTCTCTCTGACTTTCTGGCGAGCGCATGTGCCCTATAGTAAAAACCTCTCCAAAAAAAAAAAAAATCAGTGTTTGGAGCCAGCATGTGGTGAAGTAGTTATGACACTAGACTCCCACATAGCCGACTGCAGTTCAAGTCCCGGACCTGATGGTTTGAAAATCATGCCAGGTACATTTGCATGCATGCCCAAAATCCCAAGAGGAGAATGAAGAGAAAGGGATTGTGGCACGAGCATTCTCCCTGGGGATGATTTCTTACTTTCCCTCTCAGTGTCTGTCTTTGACTCTCTCTGGTGAATGCACACACCCTATGGCAAAAAAAAACAATATATAGAAAAAAAATCAACATTTATGGCGAGCTCCATGGCCTGGTGGCTAAGGCAACTGGATCCCAGCCAGCTGCATGGTTCAAGTCCTTGACCCATTGGCTTGAGAAACATAGCAAGCACATGTGTGCATGACCAAAATCCCGAAAGAAAGGAGAAGTGGAAGAGAAAGGATTATAGCATGGCCATTCCCCATGAGAGGAGTACTTTCTCCTCTCCATCTCTCTGTCTGTCTCTAGTGAGCCACATGTATCCTCTAACATAAAGGGAAAAAAATGGGGTTTTTTTTTTGGAGAGGTTTTTGCTATTAGGGCGCGTGTGCTCGCCAGACAGACAGAGCGAGACAGAGAGACAGAAAGCAAGAAATCACCCCCTGGGGGGATGGTCATGCCGCAATCCCTTCTCCTCCATTCTCCTCTCGGGATCTTGGGCACGCACGCACACGCGCCCGGCATGAGTTTTAAGCCACTGGGTCCGGGACGCGAACCGCGGTAGACCACATGGGAGTCCAGCGACATAGCCATTACGCTAACTGCTGGTCCCGAAAAAAATATTTATAAAAAAAATTTCAGTGGTCTGTCTCATGTTCCCAACACCTCAGACTTGGTGCTGTATTTACTCTGTTGGTCTCAAAGACTCAAAAGGAAAAATAGTAGTTCTCTGTCTCTTTGGGATCAGGCCTTGCAGGAACCAGTGACTTCAACAGACTTCCTTCTCTGGGACTTTTCTGGGCTTTGATGTGGATTAGGGTAGGTATGGAGAAAAGCATCTGAGGGGGGTGTGCTACTCTCAGTCCACCTGTCCATGAGGAAGGAAATCTCTGCCCACAGCCAGCCCAGGGCCTCCGGCTAAACCTTCTAAAAATGCTCATTTCAGAACGGCAGCTTTCAGAACGGGAGCAGCAATTAATGGAAAAGTCAAATGAGCTACTGGTTCTTCAGAAAGAGACAGACTCTATGAGGGCAGACTTTAGCCTGTTGCGGAACCAGTTCTTGACAGAAAGAAAGAAAGCCGAGAAACAGGTGTCCAGCCTGAAGGAAGCACTTAAGGTGCAGCGAAGCCAGCTGGAGAAAAACCTTCTTGTGAGTACCTGCTGCCATAGCAGTTTTCCAGGAAATGGCACTTACAAATTTTAAACTACACCACCACCTCACTGTAGAAAACGATGAATTGGCATGACCCAGCCCCTAATGCAGATGTCCTCATTAGTATATTCCTGTACAGTTTAAACTACACCACCACCTCACCGTAGAAAACAATTAGTTGCCACGACCCAGGCCCTAACCCAGACATCGTTATTGGTATATTCCTGTCAGTTTGTTCTTGAAGCAGATGGTGAGCTTTGCCTGAAACTGGACTATAGCCTCTGGGAGCTCTGTCTGACCAGCCTGGGAGATTTTCATGTGGACAGACACTGTCAGCACAAAATAGAGCCCACTTCCTCCTAGGGAGCCTTGGCTGTCACCTCCACTGGCAGGGGGTGGAGGGTGTAACAGAAGGTTCTGTAGACATTTTTACACAGCTGCAGTCAGAGCTTACACATCCTCATCCTGCCTTTTCTGTCAGTGTTAGCCTCACTTAATCACTGTCTTAAACCAGGAAGCTTAACACCACACTTACCCCTGCGATAAATTTGGTAAGTGATACCCAGATAGTTCAGAACAATTATAGAAGGTGGAGGCAGGTGAGCAGCAAGGAGATTGTCACAGATAAGGATTTTTCTAGCATCTTCTAGAGGAATTAATGGAGTCCTGTTGTATTAAAGGGACTTTTGAACTGTGTGTTTACCAAGGGGTAGATACACTTACAACTTGTGATAGGCAAGATGACTGTAAAGAGAATATAGATGTCTAACATGTGAATCCTCCCAGTAATCCTGTGATGGTGAGTATCATTTCTCCCATGTTATAATTAAAGGAGGCTCTGATAGGGAAAGTAACTTACTGTCAGAGGTAATACTGTGGTCTGGAAGTCAGACTAAGGACTAAGAGACTGACAGAAACATACTCCAGACTATGCTATACGTCTGCTTATAAGAGTCAGATAGGATTAGAGGAGCTGAGGCCCAGATGGAAAAGGAAGTTATCGAGCTAGTGATGGTGTGCAAAACCCTCACCTCCACAAGTTGAACCACAGTCATTTTCCTCCTTGTGCTAGGAGCAAAAACAGGAGAACAGCTGCATGCAGAAGGAAATGGCAACAATTCTAGAGGAATTAATGGAGTCCTGTTGTATTAAAGGGACTTTTGAACTGTGTGTTTACCAAGGGGTAGATACACTTACAACTTGTGATAGGCAAGATGACTGTAAAGAGAATATAGATGTCTAACATGTGAATCCTCCCAGTAATCCTGTGATGGTGAGTATCATTTCTCCCATGTTAATTAAAGGAGGCTCTGATAGGGAAAGTAACTTACTGTCAGAGGTAATACTGTGGTCTGGAAGTCAGACTAAGGACTAAGAGACTGACAGAAACATACTCCAGACTATGCTATACATCTGCTTAAAAGAGTCAGATAGGATTAGAGGAGCTGAGGCCCAGATGGAAAAGGAAGTTATCGAGCTAGTGATGGTGTGCAAAACCCTCACCTCCACAAGTTGAACCACAGTCATTTTCCTCCTTGTGCTAGGAGCAAAAACAGGAGAACAGCTGCATGCAGAAGGAAATGGCAACAATTGAACTGGTAGCCCAGGACAATCATGAGCGGGCCAGGCGCCTGATGAAGGAGCTCAACCAGATGCAGCACGAGTACCTGGAGCTCAAGAAACAGGTGAGCCCAGGACCCCACCCTGGCCAGCCTGGAACAGAGAGGGCTCATTAACACTCTTCATTCCCACAGGGCTGTCATAGAGTGTATCGTTTTTCATATTTTTTTAAGAGGAATATTTCTTTATGGAAATTGTGAAAAGCTGGAATGTTCTTTAAGTTAAATCTGGTTTTTGTTTTTAGTCTTAAAACTTGGAAATGAGGGCTAGCCCATGGTGTGGTGGTAAAGGTGATTGGATCCCATATGACTAAACCTGGTTTAAATCTTAGACTGGGTGACTTGAGAAACATGCCGGGTCTATAAGTGTGCATGCCCAAAGTCCTGAAAGAAGGAAGAGATGGAGGAGAAAGGATTGCAATGTGACCATTCCCACAAAGGGGTGGTCTCTTTCTCTTTTTCTCCCTCCCTATCTCTCCATGAGTGTACATGCCCTCCAACAAGTTTAAAAAATAAATAGGGACCAGCAGTTGGCGTAATGGCTATGTTGCTGGACTCCCACGTAGTCGACCACAGTTCGAGTCCTGGACCTGGTGGCTTAAACTCACACCAGGTGCGTGTGCATGCATGCCCAAGATCCCAAGAGGAAAATGGAGGAGAAGGGATTGTGGCGTGACCATCCCCCCTGGGGTGTGATTTCTTTCTATCTCTGTCTATCTGGTAAGCACATGTGCCCTATAACAAAAACCTCTCCAAAAAAAAGAATAAATAAATAAACTTAGAAATGTACCTTCCATAAGAAAAAAAAATTGTTAAAAACACGCTTTTAAAGTTTTCTTAAATTCAGCAAGCTTTTCATCAGTTTTCTAAAAGGAAAAAAATGGTAATTTTTTTTAACTTTTTTTTTTTTCTTTTTTTTTGGAGAGGTTTTTGCTATAGGGCGCGTGCACTCGCCAGACAGACAAGAGAGAGACAGAAAGCGAGAAATCACCCCCCAGGGGGGATGGCCACACCGCAATCCCTTCTCCTCCATTCTCCTCTTGGGATTCTGGGCATGCACGCACACGCGCCCGGTGTGAGTTTAAGCCACCGGGTCTGGGTCTCGAACTGCGGTCGACTACGTGGGAGTTCAGCGACATAGCCTTTAGGCTAACTGCTGGACTCCAAAAAATGGTAATTTTTTAGCATAAAATTTTATCACATCCAAAGAATTACATTGAGATGTTAAATTTTGTAAGGAAACTTCAACAATTTCATAGAAAAATGGAATTCAAGTATGAGTTTCTGTTAATTTTGTAAGAGGAAGTGTGCACTCATGGAGAAAGAGAGAGAAAGAAAGCATCCCCTGTTGAGATAGTTATGCCACAGTCTCTTATTCATTTCTTCTTCCTTTTGGGATTTTGAGCATGCCTACACACATGCCTGGCATGCTTTTCAAATCACCAGGTCCAGGACTATGCAGGCAGCCATGTGGGAACTAGCTGCTTTAACCACCATGCTACCTCTGGTCCATTTCTTTAGTGGCAAAAAATTTTTTAATATATGCATTTTTTCATAATACACATTTTCCATTAACTCTTTTAAAGCCCTATTTATGCCAGAATAAGTGTATCAGAGCCAAAACCCTCAGACAAAAGAAAAAATGGTCCAGTAAAAACCTTTGATAGCATCCTTTGTAACCAGGTGGGGAAATGAAACCTGCTTGTGCTGGAACTAGTAAAGGCTCTAATTCTGATGCCTTTGGAGTCCCTTAGCTAGTATCAGCAGCTGGGCCATATCTGAACGTAGCTGGGCTACTCTGACCACTTGGTTGGCCCTGCTATACTTTATCCTTTGCAACCCCATGTGGCCATTCCACTGTTATATGTGCTTTCAATGGCCACTTCCCCCTCCATGCCCCACTACACACACACACACACACACACACACCCTCTGGATCAAGAAAAACTTCAAAGAAATAAAAAGGTTATTTGGACCAGCCCTATGGTCTAGTGGTTAAGAGAAATGAATCCCATGTGGCTGACTCCATGGTTTGAATCCTGGCCCCAGAACTTGAGCACATGTGTATGTGTACCCAAAATACCAACAGGACGGAGGAATGGAGAAAGGATTGGGTGTGACTACACCCCTTTGGGGGGTATTTTCTCCCTCTCCTTCACTCTCTTTCTCTGTGACAAGCTCACGTGCCCTCTGGTTTAAAAATAAATAAAAATAACAAAATAACAGACATAAGAATGGAAAGTTATCCTTTAAGGATGATGTATATAGTAATATCTTTGACTTGATTGACATGTACTGCATGCATGCTTTGAAAAATCATATTGTACGCTATAAAGATGTACAGTGATTGGGTCGGCACGTGGCGTGGTGGATAAAGGCGCTGGATTCCCACATGGCTGACCATGGTTTGAGTCTCGGATCTGGCCGCTTGCTTTCTTGCTTTAACTTTCTCTCCACCTCCCCCTCTCTCTCTGGTGAAATTGAAAAAAATAATTAACAAATGGAATTAAGTAAATAAATAAATGAATAATTCTTTAAAAAAAAAAAAAAAAGATGTACAATGGCTCGGGACCAGCAGGTGACGTAGTGGTTAAGGGCATTGGACTCCATCATGACTTGAGTCCTGGGCCTGGTGGCTTACTTTCTCACTTCCTGTCTCTCTCACTCTCTTATTCTGTCCCTCTCTGGTCCAATTTAAATTAATTAATTAATTAATTTGTTTTTTAAAAAAAGATGTACAATGATTAAATGTAAAAAAATTTTAAGATTATTTGAAGGTCACATGCCCTTAGTGATTCCAGATGCTTCTGCAAACTTGGTAGGGCATTTAACGGTACGTATGACTGTAGTACCTTCTTTAAGCTCTTTATTGGAGAGCAGCATAGTCTCAGAAATTAAACACAATCCTTTGTAACACTTTAGGAAACCTCTAGATTGCCCATATCACTGGATTCTTTATCTATAAATGAAAGTATTTGACCAGATTTTTAATTTTTTTAGAATTTTGCCATAGGGCACATGCACTTACCAGAGAGACAGAGAGAAGGAAAATGAAAAATCACACACACACACACACACACACACAGAGCATATCACAGTTCCTTCTCCTCTATTTTCCTCTCGGGGTTTTGGGCATGTACATACACACACCCCTGTTTTTTAAGCTGCTGGGTCCAGGACTTGAACTGTGGGATCCAGCACCTTAACCACCACTCTACCTGCTGGCCCTGGCCAAATCATTTCTAAGGCTTCTTCTAGCATTAACAATTATAATCTAGATCAGTAAAGACTTGTTTCAGGAAATGGCCATTTTTATCATTTGAGGTTTAATTTGTAGTTGTCAATTGGGAATCACTATGTTGCTTATTATAAATTTTCACTTAGTTCTCACATTTTTGAAGGATCATCTCCATATATAAATCAGGTAGTAGAGGATTAGAAGTTAGCTTTTAGTCCTACTGGTCATTTTTACCAGAAGTGAGATGTAATCCAGCCTCGTTTAGCTCCAAGAGTAAGTCACCGTCAAGGAACACAATGCACGTGTTTTTCCAAAAGTAAGTTGCAAAATGCTAGTAAAATTATCCACTTGGTCCTTGTAGATACTTAAATAAGCAAAAAATCATACATTTTACAGTGCTAATAATCGTAGTAGTTGATATTGACAGATTTTTAAATACATGACACATTAAATAGCTCAATTTCAAGTAAGTCCCAAACTTCTCACTATCTTTTTTGATTCCAATTCACTCTTTAGATGGCAAACCAAAAAGATTTGGAGAGAAGACAAGTGGAAATCAGTGATGCAATGCGAACACTTAGATCTGAAGTGAAAGATGAAATCAGAACCAGCCTGAAGAATCTCAACCAGTTTCTTCCAGAACTACCAGCAGATCTAGAGGCTATTTTGGAAAGAAATGAAAATCTAGGAGAGTTGGAAAGCTTGAAAGAGAACTTCCCATTCACCATGAATGAGAAACCTTTTGAAGAAAAGCCGAACTTTTCCCAAGTTCATATAATGGTAAGTGTTTATCCTGCTATTCTCTGGGCTTCATAGAGGAAGAGTTTGGTTCCCACCTCACCCACTTTAGCTAAAAATAGATGTGGAGGTGCTGCAGTAGGAGGAGAGAAAGGTGGGTAGCTCCTAGTTGCATATATGTTGGCTCACTGATCTCTCCCTTCTTCTTTTGGGAAAGGATGAGCATTGGCGTGGAGAAGCACTCCGAGAGAAACTGCGTCACCGTGAAGATCGGCTCAAGGTAGAGCTTTAAAAAAAAAAAGTCAACCAATCCCACAGACTCAGCACACTGGGGGGAGGGAAAATTCCTTCCGCTCACTGCTGCTTTCACATTCAGTATGGCAGCATTCACAGCAGTCTCTAGATGACACTGCTGAAGCTCAGAGATCTGGCATCTCAGTAAATGGCAGTCAGTGTTGAGCATGTGAATTCTGGTGTTTGGGCCAGTGTTCTTCATCCTATGTGATGCACTTCACCTCAACTAAAACTGTCAGAATCTAAGTATTAGGTTGGTGTGAAAACAACTGCAGTTTTAGACCATGAATTTTAAATCATTATAACTAGGCTCATCTTTATTAATCAAAATAGGAGCCACTACAATCAGTACATTTTTGCCAATGAGAAATAGGTTTATTCCTGTAACAAAAATCTGTGCTTTAGAATTCAACAAACCCTTGGAAGCATCTTCTGCATCCTGTTGGTTATAGAAGCATTTTTTTTCTGCAAAAAGTTGTCAACATGCTTGGAGAAGTGGTAATAAGTTGGCAAAGAGGTCAGGTGAATATGATGGATGAGGCAAAACTCCATAGCCCAGTTCATTCAACTTCTGAAGTGTTATTTGTGCAACATGCAATCAGGCCTTGTTGTAGAGAATTGGGCCCTTCCTGTTGACCAGTGCCAGCTGCAGGCTTTGCAGTTTTCAGTTATCACACTGATTTGCTGAACATACTTCTCAGATTTACATCTGGTTTTGTCAGGATTCAGAAAGCTATAGGGATCAGACCCCACAAACAGAGACCATGACCTTTTTCTTGGTGCAAGTTTGGCTTTGGGAAGTGCTTTGGACCTTCTCAGTCCAGCCATTCAACTGGTCATTGCTGATTGTTGTATAAAATCCACTTTTCATCACATGTCACAGGCTGATGAAGAAATGGTTCGTTGTTGTGTAAAAAAAGAGATGATGACACTACAAAACGATTTTTTTTTTCAGTCAGCTAATAAGACACCCACTTATTGAGCTTTATCACCTTTCCAATTGCTGAATGACTATAGAATGCATGAGTGTTTGAGTTCTTGGGCAGCTTCTTGAGCTGTAAGATCAGCTTCAGTGATTGCTCCCAGTTGGTCGTTGTCAGCTTCCAGTCGCTGGTCACTATGCTTCACATTTTTAGGATTCTCATCTCCTTTGCCCTGTACATTCACTAGCAGTTCCTGGGCCAGTGCACTGTTTGATGTTGCAAGTTGTCTCCACTGCTTTATAACCTGTTTTGAACTCACTCCAATTTGATTTTTGTCTAACAACATTTCCATAGTCTTTAAAAAATAAATAAAAGAGCAAGTTATAAGTCATTATCAAAAAAACATGAAGCAAGAAATGTACATTATTAAAGTGATATATAACATAACTACATTTATTTAAGAATATATCTATGGCTATGTCGCTGGACTCCCACGTAGTCGACCGCGGTTTGCGTCCCGGACCTGGTGTCTTAAAACTCACACCAGGCATATGTGCATGCATGCCCAAGATCCCAAGAGGAGAATGGAGGAAAAGGGATTGTGGCGTGGCCATCCCCCCTAGGGGGTTATTTCTCGCTTTCTGTCTCTCTCTGTCTGGTGAGCACACGCGCCCTATAGCAAAAACCTCTTAAATATATATATACACACATATATATATATATATATATAAACAATAGCAAACAGTAAATTTCAATGATACAAAACTGCAGTTACTTTTGCATCAACCTAATATTTGGTACAGAAAATAAAGACAATAATAAATTCGTAAGGATATCATAGGCTAGTGGTTAGGATAAAGATTAGGAATACTAGAAGATTAGCCTTGAGAGTCAGATAAGGAATTATTTCCTGTGACATCCATGAAAGGACATCTAAATCTAAAGGCAGCTGAAAATAGGAGTCGGGATTCAGTGATCAATGTTGACCTCAAGATGGGATGGAGAAGAATATAGTGGGGGGGGGGACTGCAGGTGGCGTGGTGGTTAAGGGTGCTGGACTTCCACATGGCTGACCACAGTTTGAGTCCCGGACCTGGCGGATTGTTTCTCACTTTCCCTCTTTCTCTCACTCTGTCCCTCTCTGGTCATATTAAAATAAATAAATGAAGTTAAATAAAAATAATTATTTTTAAAAAAAGAATATAGGTGATTTTTTTTTTTTTTTTAGATTTTGGAATATTTGCATAAACATAAGATACCTTGGGGATAGGACCCAAGTTTAAACACAGAATTCATTTGTTTTAGGGACCAGCAGTTAGTGTAATATCTATGTCGCTGGACTCCCACATAGTCGACCACGGTTCGAGTCCCGGACCTGGTGGTTTAAACTCACGCCGGGTGCGTGTGCGTGCGCGTGCATACCCAAGATCCCAAGAGGAAATGGAGGAGAAGGGATTGCGGCGTGGCCATCCCCCCTGGGGGGGTGATTTCTTGCTTTCTGTCTCTCTGTCCCTGTCTGTCTGGCAAGCGCACGCACCCTATAGCAAAAACCTCTCAAAAAAACAAAACAAAAAATTTCATTTGTTTTATATATCCCTTATGCACATAACTCAAAGGCGATTTTATATAATACTTAACTATTGCAGTGTTTTGATCATGACCCATCACATGAAATCAGCTGTAGAATTTTCCCCTTGTGGTGTAATACTGTTCTTCAGAAATCTAGACTTTGGAGCATTTTTGACTTTTGGATTAGATGTCAATCTGTATTAGTTTTTGCAGTTATGAAAGTTGCCTGTCTCGGGAACCAGCAGTTAGCGTAATGGCTATGTCGCTGGACTCCCACGTAGTCGACCGCAGTTCGTGTCCCGGACCCGGTGGCTTAAACTCACGCCAGGCGCGTGTGCGTGCGTGCCCAAGATCCCGAGAGGAGAATGGAGGAGAAGGGATTGTGGCGTGGCCATCCCCCCTGGGGGGCGATTTCTCGCTTTCTGTCTCTCTGTCTCTCTCTGTCTGTCTGGCGAGCGCACGCGCCCTACAGTGAAAATCTCTCCAAAAAAAAAAAAAGTTGCCTGTCTCGGGAACCAGCAGTTAGCGTAATGGCTATGTCGCTGGACTCCCACGTAGTCGACCGCAGTTCGTGTCCCGGACCCGGTGGCTTAAACTCACGCCAGGCGCGTGTGCGTGCGTGCCCAAGATCCCGAGAGGAGAATGGAGGAGAAGGGATTGTGGCGTGGCCATCCCCCCTGGGGGGCGATTTCTCGCTTTCTGTCTCTCTGTCTCTCTCTGTCTGTCTGGCGAGCGCACGCGCCCTACAGTGAAAATCTCTCCAAAAAAAAAAAAAGTTGCCTGTCTCGGGAACCAGCAGTTAGCGTAATGGCTATGTCGCTGGACTCCCACGTAGTCGACCGCAGTTCGTGTCCCGGACCCGGTGGCTTAAACTCACGCCAGGCGCGTGTGCGTGCGTGCCCAAGATCCCGAGAGGAGAATGGAGGAGAAGGGATTGTGGCGTGGCCATCCCCCCTGGGGGGCGATTTCTCGCTTTCTGTCTCTCTGTCTCTCTCTGTCTGTCTGGCGAGCGCACGCGCCCTACAGTGAAAATCTCTCCAAAAAAAAAAAAAAAGTTGCCTGTCTCTTGCCTACTGGTGGTGGAATATGCTGTTAAGATGCTATGCTCTTCAGAATGGGATCACATGTGAGGCCGAGGTTCAAGTTCTGGTCTAACCTAAAGGCTGGGCAGAGTGGTGCAAACCTATAATCCCAGAGTTTCAAGGATCCTGAGGCAGGAAGATCGTGAGTTCAAGGCTAGTCTGGGCAATGTAGTAAGACTTCATCTATAAAAGAGCCAGGCATGATGACATACACCTAAAGTTCCAGCTAGGAAACTGAGGGAAAAGAATTGCAACAGTGAGATCCTCTCTAAAAAACAAAACAAGGAAGTGTACTATGTCAAGTCTCACTTCTTTTCTGCAATTAGACAGTTTCTATTGTCTCTGTTTTACTATTGGCATGATAGGTTGAATGCAGTTTTGTTTCTTAATAAATCTTCATTAAAATTCAATAAGTTAAAAATTCAGTTCTTCATTGCTACATTTCAAATACTCAGTAACTGATGTGTCTAATGGGTACTTTATTGACAGCAGATATAGAACACTGCCATAACTGTAGGATGTTCTGTTGAACAGTACTATTACAGACGTTGAATGAGTTCTTTCCAGACTACTGCATAAAGCCCAAAAGTTATCTGGAATTGGGAACCAGCAGTTAGCGTAATGGCTATGTCGCTGGACTCCCACGTAGTCGACCGCGGTTCGCGTCCCGGACCCGGTGGCTTAAAACCCACGCCGGGCGCATGTGCGTGCGTGCCCAAGATCCCAAGAGGAGAATGGAGGAGAAGGGATTGTGGCGTGGCCATCCCCTCTGGGGGGTGATTTCTCGCTTTCTGTCTCTCTGTCTCTCTCTGTCTGTCTGGCGAGCGCACGCGCCCTATAGTGAAAAACCTCTCAAAAAAAAAAAAAGTTATCTGGAATTGAGGATTAAATATAGTGAGGAGACACTGAAGAATGCAAGTTTAAACAAATTTAAGTCTTTGCAGACAAGAGAGAAATGAGGCAGATTTAATAGGCAAGAGACACAGGAATCCTAAGATTCCTTACAGTGGAAAGAACAGGCTGAGTAAAGGCCCAGTTGACAGTACAGAGTGGCAAAGTTTATGCATACTGAGAGTATCCATCTGACACTTTTTTAATTTAAAGGACAAAAGCATTATCAGCAGCATTTCTACTTTATGGTAGCCAAATTTGCCCAACAAATATTGCACATGAAGAAGCTGAGTAATGGTTCTGGTACACTTCTAATGTGTTTCTTTTTTTTTTTTTTTTTTGGAGAGGTTTTTGCTACAGGGCGCATGCACTTGCGAGAAAGACAGAGACAGACAGAGAGATAGAGAGCAAGAAATCACCCCCCAGGGGGGATGGCCATGCCGCCATTCCTTCTGCATTCTCCTCTCGGGATCTTGGGCACGCATGCACACGCGCCCGGTGTGAGTTTAAGCCACCGGGTCCAAGGCTCAAACCACTGTCAACTACATGGGAGTTCAGCAACATAACCATTATGCTAACTGCTGGTCTCAGGACATTTCTAATGTGTTAAATCCTCAATTTTATCGTAACTCTTTTCAGGCACAACTGCGACACTGTATGTCTAAGCAAGCAGAAGTTCTGATTAAAGGAAAGCGGCAGACAGAGGGCACTTTGCACAGTTTGAGGAGACAAGTAGATGCTTTAGGGGAATTGGTCACCAGCACTTCTGCAGATTCAGTGTCATCACCCAGTCTGTCTCAACTGGAGTCTTCCCTTGCAGAGGACTCTCATCTGGGACCAAGTCAGGTAAGGGTTTAATACAGTACATGGAAAGTACTCAAAAGCTTTGAGGTATAGAACCTAGGGGAGGCTCAGGTAGATAATGCTACTTTCAGCTCTCTGGAAAACTTTTTTAGCTAAGACTTGTTTTTTTGTGTGTGTTCCTTGAGAAAACTGGAACCAACTGGTTCATAGATATACAGAGAATAAATAAGCTGATGGTTTAGGAAATAGGACAGGAATTAGAGACTGGAAGACTTAGCAGGGATGCCGTAAATCCTGTTAATGTCCTCCACTTCTGGGTTTCCTTTTCCTACCTGGTCAGTATATTGAACTGTGAGGCCAATTTAAGTCTTAATTTATGCTCTGTCTCCCTGTATCTTGGGGAAAGATGACTGTACCTACTGTGACTCCTCAGAAAAAGTCTAAAAGCAGACTTAACTCAGGGTCTGTTTAAAACCCTGAGTTTCACAACGGTTTTCTGTGTGCAGTTTAAATAAGATTAATAATCATTTAAGAGGAACATGAAATATAGTCACAGAACCAGTAGGTAGTAACACCATCAGAGACAGATAACAGCTTCCATTTTTTAGTACCTGCTGCGTGCACATACTGTATTAAGCACCTTACATATATCCCTTTATTTTTATCATGGAAGGTACAAATAAATTAGCCCTTTACAGATAAGAAAAGTGTATAAAATGACAAATTAATTTGTCAAGGACATAACACACAAAACCAGGACTCAAGCTAATCTGTCTTTACCACAGAGCACTATATCCTTAATAGTTGAACCACAAGGAACATTCAAGGACCATTGCCTCTTTAATAGGCCTAAAGTGGAAAAACACTTACTACCTAGGTCACATAGCTAATTAGCAACAGAACAAAGATTTGAATATAATTAACACCTTCTGTGCCAAATCAGGTAAATGCCACATTATCGGTGAGCCTCAGGACAGAGCTTGAGGAGGAGGGTGAGAGACATGGCATTGAAAAATAGGTAAGAGTCCAGGCTAGTGAGAGAAGAGTGGATATGGGTTTAGGAGCCAGGTTTCATGATCAGTTCAAGGTAGCAACCAGAGAACTTCAAGTGCTTTAAGGCAAGAAATAACAGATGTTAGAGGCATAGCGGGTGGGGGCGAGAGTGTGAAAACTGACGTCTGGAATTGGAATCCATGCTATGTGGTATAAAAGCTTGAACTAGGATAGAGATAGGGGGCTGCCTTCTGAGCTCACATTTTCTCTTCTTTCTAGAGTTCCTTCCAACAAGTTCTCCAAGGTCCAGCAGAACCACCGAACAGTTACCAACACTGATGCCATTCCTAACTTCCTGCTCACAGGGTACTCACTAGAGATCTTTTAAACTAACATTTTCAAGTGGAAAATCTTGATTTCTAGAAGTTTTAATTTTATCCTTTTTTCATACTTGTGTACTATAGTTCATTATAAAACATCTTTCCAAAGTACTCAAATATGTATATTACCTATCTATTGGGTCTTCAGGAAAGATGCTTTTTTGCATAGAAAAACATTTCATTTCCTGACAACCTAATACATCATACCATGATTTAATATAAACTTATTTAAGAGTTTTTTCCTGTTTCAAGAATTTAACTCGTCCTTCCTTTTTGTTTTACTGTAGGAAAAAAAATGGCTTGGCCAGACGAGGAATAGTGTCTTGCATAAATGTATCTGAGGAAATCCTTCTTTACTACCTCGCTAACTGCACAATTGGAATACCACTTGGTTTTTATCAAGATCCAGTGAATTCAGATGCTGAAATTCCACTGTAGTTTACTTTGCTTGTACCACTAATGCCAGGGTTTTTGTAAATCACTTGTATATATGGGAATAGTTGTATACAATTTAAACCGGAGTCCTAGACAGCTGGGTTTTTTTTTAATCTTTGGAATATGTTTTTATAAAACAATGCTGATTTAAACTGAATGTTTGAATCTATAAACTGGTAAATCTAGTTACAAAGAAAAAAGAACATAATTTAAGTCATTTATATAGTGTCAAACGTTATTTTTGGATTCTGCTTTAAATCTATTTTTTTGTATGGAAATAAAAAAAATGAAATCACCTTGGGTCTATCAACTTTATATTCACAGATCAGTAGTTCCAAGAAAACAAGAATCTTTCAGATGGTTTTTCATCATTTACCTGGAGATTTAATTATCTTATTAAATATATTTCATCATTTGGATGCCTATTATAAAACTATGTTTCAGCTGCTTTTCCTCAGCCAAAAGTATTTTGTTGGGAAACTTTACCCCTTAAAAGAATCTGACCCAGTGACAAATTCAAACTATTCAGACTTAAATTTGCTTACTCTAATTAACAGCCCAACTCCATGATCTATATACATGTCTTTCAAAACACTATAGCAGCTACTATCACAGTTGTATGGCAACTGAATTATTCCTAAGGGGTGAAGTATGCAGATTTTGTCTTTATTTCCATGAGAGTCAGACACCCCAACAGGGTCTTCATGCCATGACCCAGCCAGATCATAGGCACAGGTATACTCAGAGAGATCCCAAGAAATAAATGAGCCTAGTAGTGTTTTTATGTTTGTTTTTTTAAAGAGATTTTTGCTATAGGGCACGTGCACTCGCTAGAGAAACAGAAAGCAAGAAATCACCCCCTGAGGGGGGATGGCCACACCACCCTTCTCCAGGCTTCTCTCAGGATTTGGGGCATGCATGCACACATACCTGGCGTGAGTTTGAAGCCACCAGGTCTGAAACCTGAACTACAGTTGACCATGTGGGAGTCCAGTGATGTAACCTTCAGGCCATCTGCTGGTCCCCAACCCAGTACTTTTACTGTGCAGGTCCAGCTGTTATTACTGCACTATCACCCTCCCGAGTTAGGTTTGGAAACATTCCTAAGAACCTTCAACTAGGCCAGTAGACAGCTTTTGAGCCCTACAGGCATTATACTTTGTTACCACAATACAGATAATACAATGCAGTAATCCCTCACTGCCAAGGTTTACATTCCTAAAATAGGCTAGGACTCCAGTCTTCCATTAAGACAACAAAGTAGGAAGCAGCAGTTAGCATAATGGTTATGTCACTGGACTCCCATGTAGTCAACCACGGTTTGAGTCCTGGACCCGGTGGCTTAAACTCACGCCAGGCGCGTGTGCGTGCATGCCCAAGATCCCGAGAGGAGAAGGGACTGCGGTGTGGCCATCCTCCCTGGGGGGTGATTTCCCTTTCTTTCTGGAGAGCGCACACGCCCTTATAGCAAAAACCTCTCAAAAAAAAAAAAGTAACAATTTTTTTGAGCAATTTTTGTTATAGGGGACACAAAATGAGAAATCACCCTCCATAGAGGGCTGCACCACAATCCCTCCTCCTCCATTCTCTCAGGATCTTGGACATGCATGCACAACATGTACTCAGTATGAGTTTCAAGTCTTGGTCCAGGACTCAAACTATGTGGGAGTCCAGCATCTTAACCACTATGCCACCTGCTGGCCCCCATAAAACTCATTAACACAGAATAAATTCAAGAAGGTATTTACTTCCAAAACAAAACTTTATATTCTCCTTTATTTTGCTTTCTTGAATTTTAGCAAAATGCTTGAAGGTCTTGCATATTCACAATTCCTGTAGTAATTCAGGGACACGGTTTTTTGGACCTATGCTATATGAGGGTAAATAAAATACTTTTAAGTTTTTGCTGTAGGGCACATGCACTCACCAGGAGAGACAGGGAAAATGAGAAATCACCCTCCAGAGGGGATGGCCACATTGCAATCCCTTCTCTCCTCAGGATTTTGGGCACACAAGGCACAGAGGCCAGTGTGATTTTCTTTTTCTTTTTCTTTTTTTTTTTTTTTTTTTT